GGCAGGAATCTGAGCTCCTGGACCTGGTGCAAGCTGCCTGCACACCCAGCTCCTAATACTCTTTAAAAGCAGAGCCACAACGGGGGTAGGTCCTGGACCCTGCATGAGCCAGAACTGAGCCGGGCTGCTGGGCATCCTGCTAAACGATGCACTGGCAGAGGGAAGGGGGAAATGCGTGTCGTGTAGAGCATTCACCTATAAGCTTTTGCCTGTCGGTTGATCGACTGCACTCTTCCATCTCCAGTTTGTACTTTCCCCTTGAATCCCCTTTGTGCTCCCTGCAATCGGGGGCTGGGCCCTGCCTGGCTCCAGGGGGATGGTCAAAGGAGCCTTGGGGCTGCTCTGCCTAACCCATTGCTCCCATCTGGGCCCTGGAGAGCAGAGAATTCCCATGGTGCACTGTGCTCTAGCCACACACCCTGCTCTGCCCCTACTGTGGGACTTGGGAAGAGGCTGTTGCGCAGGGTTCCTGTAAGCTGAGCCTTTGGGTGAGCACCCAGGAGACAGAAACATGTGTGTCTATTGGTGGTGCACATCCACACATGCCTCAGTGCACAGGGCATTCTGCACACGGCTGGAAAACATTAGAGGGAACATTGGCGAGGGACCCTTCCAGCAGCTCCACGCCAGCAGGACTGGTCTATCTGGGACCAGGTAAGTACCCACATTAAGACCCCTTTTCACAGCCAGAGTGGCCTAGAAGGTCTTGGAGTAACTGTGGGATAAACTCAGACTAGCAGGGAAGGCTGGAACCAAGGGGTGATGTGAAATGGGGGGGACATGGGCCCAGATGCCAGGGAATGGTGTGTGTGTGTGTGTGTGTGTGTGTGTGTGTGTGTGTGTGTGTGTGTGTGTGTGTGTGGAACCATGAGACAGTGTCTCTAATAATGAGTTTTGACCCCACCTCCCACCGAAAAAAACCCTGGATCACTTTGTATTACAGCTATTTAAATCTTCCCATGTAATACCCGGAAAGGGACACTAGGTGTCACTGCCCCACAGCCAGGCCCTGCTGAGGCAGGTACATTCCCAGCCTGGCTCTGAGTGGGGATGGGGACTAGATCAGTGCAGCCAGCAGGGGGCGGCGTGTCCCTGCCCTGCAGGAGCCCCATGGCCTGGCCCCGCAGCTGGGTTCCCTCTGGCAGTGCCTGGGGGTGGGCGGCTCAGACACACATGAGCTGGGGTTACCTGCTGGGCCGGGCTGGGCCGTGGGGCACAGCTGGGATCGGACACGCTCCAGGCAGGCGCTGCAGGCTGCTGTGCTGGGGTCCCCACTCCCAGGGGCTGCCGGGGTCTGTCCCTTCTCGGACGCCAGGTGGGAAACTGCAAAGCAGCGTGGGGAGGGGAATGATGGTGACTGGTCAGTGTTACAGGAGGTTGTTAGACGGGAGAACTGACAGCCCTGAGGAGACCCAGGGCCTGGCCCAAAGTCTGCTCATCCTCATCTCCTCTGACTCCCCTGGGCTATTGAGCAGCCCCAAAGGGCCAGGGTCTGAAAAGTGGCTGGGACTGAAAAATCAGCTTGAGAGATACCTAAATCCCTGGGGCCTTTCTGCAAATCCAGCCTGTGTTTGCAGCTCTCTCAGTTACTTACCGCTCACCTCCACAGTGTCAGAGCACTTCAGAGCCTGACCGGATTTAGCCTCCCCACCCCAGGTGAGACACGGCACAGAGCTGTTACCACCATTGTACCACTGGAGAAACTGAGGCACAGAGGCCCTGGAGGTGGGGAGGACCAGTCTGGATCCCAAACCATGTGATCTGGCTCTCTGGGGCTGCATGTTCAGTATACTATACTCCTCCTCAGTCCCACTCTGTGTGGAGCCTCAGAGGAAAGGCCAGGAGACGTGGGCGGGGTGTGAGATCGCACAGGAAGCAGAGGAGCTGGGCTGCATCTCTGAGGGTGTCAGGCTGGTGGTCAGAGTGTCTGGCTCTTTCTGCTGCTACAGACATTGCTTTGCTCACAGACTTTCTCCCAGGCCGGGATGGGTGCCCCTCCCCCTCTAATGCTCCCACCCGAATACCAAGGTGAGGGGCGTAGCCAGCTTGCTTATGACCTTATCTGGTATCTGTCACTTCTAGGGCTGCCAGATGGTTAAACCAAAAATACTGACCACGACCCCATGAAAAAAAAAAAACAGGAAAAAAATTCTGTTGGGGTGGGGGAGAGACCAAAGTTGTTATGCAAAAAAAAGGGGGGGACTCCGAGAGTTAAACAAAAAATCAAACAGCATGGCCCCTTTCACACTGCGTGCAGAGTAAGAATAGCGATAGGATAAGGCGAGATGTTGAGCATTAAGAACCAGGGGAGGCTTTGCTTCCCCTTGGTCTTTAGTCTTTTTGCTGGCAACCATTTTGTGCTTTTGATCAAGCAAGAACACAGGTAAGTAAGGGGTCCGGGCAGCGGCGGATTTAGGGCAGGGCGAGCGGGGCGGCTGCCTCGGGCCCCGCGCTTCCTGAGGCCCTGGGTTATGTCGTGGGGAGTTTCACAGCATAGGAAGAAATCAGTGGAAAGGCAAAGAGCTGGAGTAGGTGCAAGTGTCCATTTTATTGCATAGCACAGAACTCACTAGAACAAGCCCGGACTAGCTGGGCTGACCCCAGTGCCCTACTCAGTTACCATAACAACAAGATCTATATCTACAACCCAATATAAAACACCCTGTGCATGCGCCGTGTCAAAGGGGGCGCTTCCTGAGGCCCCGCGCATGTGCCATGGTGCCACGGCACATGCACCGTGTCAAAGGGGGGGCCCCGTGAAATTTCGCTGCCCGGGGCCCCACGGCGCTGCCCTGGGCCCCGCGGCAGTCTCATCCGCACCTGGGGCCAGGGCTGGGGGCTGGAGGTGTCAGAAAGCCGGGGGCTGGGCCCGGTTGCCAAGTGTGTCGTAGGGTTGTCAGGTGTCCGGTATTTTTTCCTCCTAGCTGGGAAAAAAACAGAAAATACCAGGTAAGGTATTGTAGGTGTCCGGTATTTTCTGAATTTTTTTACCGACTGTCCTGGCCAATACCAGACACCTGGCAGCCCTATTCCCCTCTGTGCCGCTTGCCCATGTTCCCTGAGATGCAGGGGAGGATCATGGGATTATACAAGGGGTTTTAGGCACCTAAAGCTGCAGAGAGGCCTGAGGGAGGTTTTCAGAAGCACCTCGGCCCAGCTCCTCAACAGTATCCAGGTGTCTAACTCCCTTGGGTGCTGGGCAGCTCAATATGTTTGGGAACCTAGGCCTTAGGGGCCCAATTCCCATTTATTTCAATAGGTGTTAGCTTCTCTTTTAAAGAGAAGCTAGATAATTTCATGGAGGATAGGTCCATAAAAGGCTATTAGCCAGGGGATAGAAATGGTGTCCCTGGCCTCTGTGTGTCAGAGGCTGGAGAAGGATGGCAGGAGACAAATTGCTTGATCCTTGTCTTTAGTCCCCCCCCTCTGGGGCACCTGGTGCTGGCCACTGTCGGCAGACAGGATACTGGGTTAGATGGACCTTTGCTCTGACCCACTATGGCTGTTCTTATTCCTAAAACAACCCTCTAGGGTAGGAGTTCTCAAACTTGTGATACTGCGACCCCGCCCCCGTAAGTTGCTCATGACTCCCCCCAGTTACTGAAACCACCCTCTAAGCTGCTTGTGACCCCCCGGGGGATCAGGACCCACATTTTGAGAAATGCTGCACTAGGAGTGTGTTTACACAGCAGTGTGATGTCTACACTTCAAGCAGTTATTTCAATTTAATGATGAAATAATATCCAGGTAGAGGACTACTTACTACTCCCACTCCTGTAACCCTCATTTCATGAGGAATAAGAGTACGTCTACATTGTATAGCTATTTTGGGACACTGGAGGTATTCCAAAATAGCTACCTCACATCATAACGAGCTGCCCATTATTTCAAAATATTTTTCAAAATAACAGGCGTGCTATTTCAGCATCCCAGTAACCCTCGTTCAATGCCAAAAGCCAAAATAAGCTATTTCGACTTCAGCTACACAATTAGCGTAGCTCAAATTGTGCAGCTCATTTCGGATTTAGCCCTCCTGCGCAGACGTACCCTAGGTGCCTTGCTGTTTTGTTAAGCACCTAAACCCTGTGGAATTGCAGCCTTAAAGGATCAGCCCAAGTCACATGGGGAATCAGTGGCAGAATCTGGAACTGATCCTAGAGCTCCTGAGTTCGGATTAGCATCAAAACCACTGAGCCAACCTCCTTGTCAGAGCACTTGTGAGCTCCCATCCAGTCCTGCACCCTGCTGCACTCAGCCAGCTCCCTCTGACATGTCAGCCTAGAGAAGGAAACACGACATTTGGGGGAAACATTCCCAGCCGGCTTTTGGTGATGTCCTTTCCCTATTTATCCCCTATTATGCAAAGACCCACAGCGAGAGACAGTCCCTGCCCCAGCTGAGATCAGGGCCCCGTTGTGCTGGGTGCTGCACAGTCACACAGGAAGAGAAAGTCCCTGTCCCTGCTGCGATCAGGTGCAGACACACAGTGAGAGACAGGCCCTGCCAAAAAGAATTTACAAACTGTACAGATAAAGGAGGCATGATCTCCATTTTACATTTGGGAAACTAAGGCTCAGTGTAATTCAGTGTAATTCAGAAGGAGTCTGTGGTAGAGCCTGGAATGGATTCCCAACCCCCAGAGCTAAGAACTGACAGCCCAAGGGGATATATTCAACCTCAGTATGAACATGGTGTTTCTGGGGCTTCTTAAAATCTCCCCTGAAATAAGCAGGATGAAAACATTGGTTAAGGGAAGAAATAGAAGCATAAGGCAAAATACCTTTGGAAGGCCATGCCACAGATCTGGGAGTAGAACTCTGGTCTCAGGGTTCGTCTACACAGCAGCCACTACAACAGCCGTTATTCCAAAATAACAATGTGAGGCTGTGTCTAGACTGGCAAGATTTTGCGCAAAAGCAAGCGCTTTTGCACAAAAACTTGCCAGCTGTCTACATTGGCCGCTTGAATTTGCGCAAGATCACTGACTTTGTAATGTACAAAATCAGTGCTTCTTGCACAAATACTTTGACGCTCCCGCTCGGGCAAAAGCCCTCTTCCGCAAAAATTTTTGCGCAAAATGGCCAGTGTAGACAACGTGGTATTGTTTTGCACAAAAAAGCCCCGGTGGCGAAAATGGCGATCATGGTCATGTACAAATTGTTTCATTGGGCAACCGGACTAGAACTGGAAACATTTCTAAAATATCCAGAGCTGGAGCCAATCCTGAGATAGCACAAAGGAACTCAGCTTTGAAAATAAATGAAGTCCATTCCCAGACTCAAGCAGTTGAAAGGTCTGGTTTATATGAACAGATAGTAAGTTGTATGGGTAGGTCATTTTGTTGTAGTGTAACCATTTGAGTTGCCATCAGACTGGTGAGCAAATAAGGAGTGGATGAGAAGCCAAAGGGTATGTACTGGAATTAAAATTAGCTATGCAATGTTGCAAAGTGCCAGTGGCATTATCACATTGGTATGGAGTTCCTTGGGGCGATAATGAAAATCCTGAGTAAACATCTCTAACAGAAAGTTCTGGATTCCATGAAAACAGTGGTCCTTGCATACTGTCAATCAACATGGACAGAACCAGCACTGGATGTTGCTTGTCTTTCCTACAAGTAAGAATCCAGAATGGACACACCAAAATTAATCAGTCAACACAGCAATTGCTTCTAGTGAAAACACATTAACAGTGTTATTCTTCACTGCCTGTTTACTAGTTCAGAGGAAGAAGAGGTGACAGGAAAGATTAGGGGAACTTGAAAATCACAGAAAGACCCTCTCAGAGGGTTTTGAGAAGACATGTTGGAAATGAAGGGAGGCAAAGGAAAAGCGTGTGGGGCAGCAGTCCACATTTTCAATTCAATTGTTTCATTTTAGTCTTTATGTTTGAACAATAATCTATACCCTAAGACAGGGGTCTCCAAACTGCGGCCCGGGGGCCGGATGCGGCCCGCGAGGCCCTCTCATCCGGCCCGTGGAGACCTTTTTGGATTCAAAGGCAGAAGAAGTGAGATTGTTTCAAAACCCATTTGAAGCAGATGTGGCCAGTTGCCCAGATGAACTGCAGCTGGAAGTCATTGAGTTGCAAGCAAATGACCTCCTTAGGGACAAGTTCAAAATAGGACTGGTGGGTTTTTACCAGTTTTTGCCCAAGGAAGACTTTCCTAATGTCAAAACTTTTGCATCAAGGTACCTTTCAATCTTTGGAACAACATACCTGTGTGAACAAACATTTTCAAGAATGAAATATGTGAAGAACAATTTGAGAACAAACTTGTCCGATGATAATCTCAGGTCACTGTTGATGTTAGGGACAACAAATCTAAAGCCAGAAATGTCTGCTATTTTGGCATCCAGGAAACAATTTCACCATTCACACTAATACAGGTGTTCATGTGTAGTGTATGAATGTGTTATTAAATAATAACTGAATAAAATAATATTAAATAAATAATTAAAAACAACATCCATGTTTTGATTGTTTTTTATTTGGACCTCAAGTGTGCAGTCGGCCCCGAACTGCTGTTTGATAGTTAATGCGGCCCTCGGGCTGAAAAGTTTGGAGACCCCTGATCTAATAAACCATCTTGTTAGTCTTTAAAGTGCTACATTGTCCTGCATTTTGCTTAGGACTCCCTTGGTGCATCTCCCCCTCTCCCTCGCTGCTGTGTCTTTGATAGAAAAAATTAAAAAACTGTTCATTCCAATATTTCAACATCTGGCTTTGCCTCAAATTAGGCAAACTCTCAAATGCTTGTAACTCTGATCAAAACTTTCTGTCAGCGCCCTGAACTCCTGCCCCTGCCCTGAATCCCCTCTCAGCACCAGCACCTCTTGCCTTCCTGCATCCTGAACCCCCTCCTGTACGCCAAGCACCTGTCCTAGCCCTGAACTGCCTCCCAGAGCCTGCACCCTGCATCCCATCCCCCCCGTCCCAGCCCAGTGAAAGGGAGGAGAAGAGGATGGAATCTCACTTTCTTTTAGCCAGCTCCAGTGTGTGCCAGGATCTATCTAGTTTCCCCTCCATCCCCATGCACACCCACCTGCCTGGGTATCTGATTCTCTCTGTGCGACAGCCAAGTGCTTTGCAGTATGAAGGTCACTAGCTAGTGGGAGGGACGGGACAGTCCAGGCCAGTCACTGATGGACACTCACTGACAAACCCGGTGCAGCAGCCAGTGCGGCAGCTACTCACCCCACATCCCCAGCACTATCACAGCGACCAGCAGCACCATGTTCCCAGCCCATCCGCCCCACCGCGCCGCGCGGTGCCACCAGGGACACTGGGCACCTGCAGAAACCAATATGTAATAAGAGGCAGTCAGGATCTGGTGCATGAAATATTGTTTCAGGGCCGCACTTTGCAACGGGGGTGAGGGCTTCAAAACTCAGAGCCTCTGTCCTGCCTCCCGCTTCCATGTGCTGCTCCCCGTTCAGCTCCCAAGTACCATGGCCAGTGGGGCTGCCCCTCCCCTGTCCTATGTGGGTGGGCTTGAGGCATGTTAGAACTGAAAGAGGCAGTCAGGATCTGGTGCATGAAATATTGTTTCAGGGCCGCACTTTGCAACGGGGGTGAGGGCTTCAAAACTCAGAGCCTCTGTCCTGCCTCCCGCTTCCATGTGCTGCTCCCCGTTCAGCTCCCAAGTACCATGGCCAGTGGGGCTGCCCCTCCCCTGTCCTATGTGGGTGGGCTTGAGGCATGTTAGAACTGAGGGCAGTGGGGTCTAGTGGCTAGATCTGGGAATTTGCGCTTAGGGGTTTCAGTCTCAGCTCTGTGAGGACTGTGGGAGCTGGGCTGGGTGGGGTGAGTGGGGGAGAGGAAGGGATTCTGGGAAGCAGGATTCCTGGGTTCCTCTCCTAGCCATGCCCCTGACTTTCCTCTTGTCCAGAGGCCAGTCACTCCCCTATCTGGGCCTAAATTTGCCTATTGCCTCCGCCTTGGAGATCCTGTTTGCCTTCTCGGTCATATGCGCAAATACTGAAGGATCAGACCCCTAATACTTCACTGCTGTCAATCCATATGTTCAACTCAGACTGACCCCAGCCCCTGCCACACTGTGAACCCTCCCTGGGGTGGCAGCTCCAGCCCTGTCCCTGTTGCTGGGACATGGAGCCTGCAAGCGGGGAGCAGGGTTTGCAATCAGTACCTGGGATCCTGGCTGCAGGTGGGACGGCTGAGCGGCCCCCCCTGGACTTTAGGTTCAGCACCGTGTAGCCCTCCTCATCCTCCATCAGCTCCGGTATGGCCACCAAGAGAGCGGAGGCAGTGCAGCTGGGAGCCTCTCTGAGCTGTGTGGGGAGGGGTGTGAGACCACACAGGAAGCTGAGCCATGGCCTGTAGCTGGGTGCGTGGCAGGTTGATGGACAGAACCTGCTGCCCTAGGGGCTGTTTGCTGCTGCAGAAAGTGCCTCATGTAGCTGCAACAATTCTTAGAAGTTACACGGATACTAAAATGCTCCCCCAGCTCCAGGAGTGGAGCCTGCAGCCAGCTGATACAGAGGTAGCAGCATATGGGGTGGCAGCTGGGAGCTGGTTCATCAGTTAAGCAGTTATGTACGTCCACATGGCCAATCCAGCCCTTGTCCAACCCAGATCCACCCCCAGCTCCTGCCATGCTGTGAGCCCTCCCTGGGGTGGCAGCGCCAGCCCTGACCCTGCTGCAGGGACGTGGAGCCTGCAGGTGGGGAGCAGGGTTTGCAATCAGTACCTGGGATCCTGGCAGGCAATGGGACAGCAGCATGGGGGGTGGCAGGTGGGAGCTGGTTCATCAGTTAAGCAGTTATCTGACCAGCTGCTAACAACCCTAATATAAGGAGTCATCCCCAGCCACAACAGGGACAGCCTGCAGGGCGATGTCTACACTGGTGGCTTATTGTGCAAGAACATCTTGCGCAAAGGTTGTTGTCCAATAAGTCTTGCACAGTAAAACGTCCACACTGCCATGTGTGAGCTGTGCTTTTGCACAAGAGCGCCCATGGCAGTGTGGGTGCTCTCTTGTGCAAGAAAGTGCTGATGGCCATTTTAGCTATAGGGCTTTCTTGTGCAAGAAATCCCTGTCGAGTTTCCACACTGCCCTCTTGAGCAAGAGCTCCTGCGCAAGAGGGCTTACACCTGTTAAAAAAGAGTGTAGCTCTTGCACAAGAAGCCCTCTCTTACACGCCGTACTGTAAATATTCTTGCGCAAGAGGAGGCGGGCAGTGTGGACATTCTGCAGATTCTTGCGCAAGAGGAGGTGGGCAGTGTGGACGTTCTGCGGATTCTTGCGCAAGAACGGCTATACTTGCGCAAGAAGCTGTGAGTGTAGACATAGCCCTGGTGCCCTGAGACAGGAGTGGGGGGCACAGCCCATTTGTTCAGGTGCTTTTGCCTGTCCCAGTCACTGTAGCCTCTGCCCATCAATGCAGAAGCTGTCATGTTTTGATAAACAAGGTGTGTGCCTCAGTTTCCCCACTGGTTTCACAAGGATTCTGTTTCTCTTTGGGACAGTCACGGAGACAGTGAACCTGTCTGGATCCATAGCACTGCAGTGTCCAAAACGTTCCATGTTTGATGGAGAGTCAGCAATTATATCTTAACAAATGGCAACACAAGCAGTCAGACCAACAGAAGCGTGGAGTCACCAGAGACACTTGCTCCAGGAAATACAAACTGGGCTGCCCAGCACAGAGAAAACTGAAACCCCGGCATCTTTGAGGCAGGAGATTTTTGCCAGCATGGACACAGAGCTCAGCTCTGCCTTCCCAGACTAACCTAATGGCCCTGAAAAGCTGTGTCCCAGCTGGCTAATCAACGTCAGCTTGGTTTGGGAAGGTGGCTGTATCATGCCCTACAGAAGTGAAGTGTTTACCAGGCATCTGAACTCATTAGATACCCTGGCTTCCCAGGGTGTGAACAAGGGGTTTTCTAGATAATGGAGACCCGGTGTTGGAGTCTCAGGGCTGTGGGGAACACCTATGGGAAAGTGAAGTCCCATAAAGGGGGCACTCATAGAGACTGTGGGAAAACTTGCAGGAGGAGCACAGCCTGGAAATCCCTGACTATGTCCCAGATGGTAACAATGAAGGAAGGCTCTGCAGCCCAACGTGGTGAAACTGAGGCATAGACTGAAGAAGAGACTCACCCAAGGCCATGTCAGAAGTCAGCAGCAGAGACAGGTCTCAAGGACCAGTCCAGAAGGCTGGGCTCTTTTTCCCAGGATCACCTTGGTTCTCCTGCAGTAATTCCCCCAAGAGATCAATCCCCTGTTGCACAGGAAGCTTAGAGCTACGACAGTCACTGCTCTGGGATGTTTTATAGCCACCACACAGTAGAATTCCCCTTCCTCTTGGATCTCTCCCTTTGAGCACAAGCCGGGCACTAGATGGAATTTTCACTTCCTTTTATTCATCTGCACACTACTGCATGGATGGGCAAGAGGCAGCTAGTGGGCCAAATGCCTTCTGGGAACCTCACTACACAGGAAATGCAGCTGCTTTAAACAGCAGGCTGCTAATTGCTCTGCAAGCTGCGCAGGGAGGAGAAAGCTTTCTGCACAGTCCCCCTTGCAAAATCGTCCAGCTCTTATTGGCCAGTTTCCAGCCAATAGGAGCTGAGAAATTTTGCTGACGGCAGGACAGTGAATGAAGCCACCTCATTCCCTCCCTCCCTGTGCGTCATTCCCTCCCTCCCTGTGCTGGAGCAGAGCCAGGTGGAGCAGCCTGCCCAGCACACAGGCATGGAGCCTATTTCAGGCTCTTGCACGGCTGCTGGCTGGGAGCTGTGTATTAAGCACCTCCTAGCCAGAGCCTGCCTCTGGCATCCCACCCCCTCTCCCTGCAACCACCTGCCCCAGGACACCACCCAACCCCTCTGTGCCCCTTTCTCCCATCTCTCGTCACAACTCCCTCCCAGATCCTGAACCCCCCTTACTCTCCTCCCACACCTCACCACCCAAACCCTCTGCACCTCCTTTCCCCCCTTCTCCCAGGATACTACTCCCTACCAGATCCTGTACCCCTTTTATACCCTCTTCCAGACCAGAATCCTTTCCTGCACCCATAAGCCCTCCTGGATCCTGCACCAGATCATAACCCCCTCCTGCACCCAAACTCCCTCTCAGATCCCACACTCCCTTCTAAACCCCACCCACCGTCCCAGACCCTGCACCTCTCCATAGAAGTGCGGCCTTTGACCACCAACCAAAATCTTGGAGTGCCTCCCCATTAAAAATTATTGCCCACCCCGATGTAGACTCTTTGACCGGACCACATCTCCCAGGCTACCCTGCAGATGTGGGACTCCCAAGATGCTCTGCAGCAACAGCCAGGGGGGAAGATTTTTGTCCAGCAGAACCTCAGCGTTACAAATACTTTCATCACAATTGGCAGGTACCCTACATGCCCTAGCCCCACACCACCGGCCACCCCAGGGAGCTGACAGCAGGGCCCCCTGGTCCAATGTGTGTGTGGAGGGGAAGCTGGAAGGGGGTAGGTGCCCTGGTGCACGGCTCCAGCTGCAAGCATCGCCCCCTCCGCTCCCATTGGCTGGGGATGGGGGAAC